GCCAAGTACCTGCAACCATTGCTTAGAAGGTCCTTATCTAGAAGAGCCCAGCTAATGGATCCAGGAGCTATCTTCTGGGGGAGAAAAAAATGCTCCTATAAAAAAATAATAATAAAATAAAAATCTGGAAACGGTGACCTGGGTGAGCGTGCTGAGGTGATGTGATTGTTTCAGTTCCACCTCCGAGAACACTTGTATGGAAGAGTGCGAACGGAGACGTGGGCTTCCTGAGCTCCCTATTCCCCGGCAGCCTCCTATCCTTCCCTCTGTGACAGTGCGAGACCTGGAAGGGAAGTGATACACCGGGCTGGGAAGTGACAGCTCACAGTAGTTGCACTTTTCACAATAGAGCACCTTTGGTCTCACATGGAAAAATAGTCTCCTTACATTTGAGGTTAAAAATAAAGATTTTTCCAGTTCGGCAGGTGGTATGGTGGTTAAGGACTCCCGCATGGCCTACCATGGTTCAAATCCCAGATCTGGGAGCTTACTATCTCCTTTTCCCTTTTTTTTTTTTTTTTCTCTCTCTCTCTCTCTCTGGTCAAATTTAAAAATAACAATAACAAATTAAATAAATAAGTAATTCTTTTTTAAATAAAGATTTTTTTCCACCCTTTTTGGCTTTTGAAGTATTCGCAGAACTCTTCAAAATGGAATCCCATGTTCCAGACCCTCTTTGTGAATCACACCACGTGGTGTCGTGTATGGGTTTCTTCAGGGGGTTAAGCCTTCAGGAATGATATGCTAAATATCAGGAGATGACAGGAACCGCGAAAGCTCCTGGTCTGCCATCAGTCATCTTGTCGCCAGAAAACACAGCCCACTCATTCCAAAATGTGGCTCCCCTGGAGATTTTTTTCCCTGTAACAAATTATCCTGGAGGGATATCAAAGCCCCATTGTTTCTTATTTAAAAGTCATAAGTTAAGACCTCAAAGACACATAAGTGGCAGTATATGAAAATTCATGTTTCCACCAGCAACTTGGCACTTTCAGTGCAGTGATAAAATCACTTTGTTCTGCCGCTCCTTCAGAGCCTAGGGAAGAATCAAGCCATTGTGCAGATTACTTAAAATTCCACAGCGCCTGCTCTGCGTGGCCAGAGAATGCTAAGAATGTGCAGCTGTTGCTCCCGCGGAAGGTTCTAACTGGGGCAGCGACTGCGCTCTCACACAGCTGTGGTTAATTTGAGCTGAAGATTTTTAATTGCCTTTGTGTCAAGATTTATTAAATAACATTTTAGAGGAACAAAAACTGTAATAGTCATATTAGGAGGATGCTGACAGAAGAAAATAATTGGAACCCAGCTTTTTTGCCTTAAAAGCCAAGTCTGAGAATATCTTTTCCACATGACTTGCTTCCAGACAACCCAGGAAAAGAGTTTCAAGTTAGATCTGGCTGCAGAAGCCCTCAGGGCCTGTGCAAGAGCTCAGCCGCTTCTCCCCTTCCTCATTTGTCTGGGAGTACTTCTGAGTGGCTTTCTCTCGTTTCCACACTCTCGACCCTATTATAGCGGAGGCAGGAGGCAGAGTGCTCAGGGCATTAGTGGGCGACTGGCTGCTCCCGGAAGCGGTCTGCATTATCTTCACCAGCCTTTGTGACTGCTGTTTTTGTATTACATCCAGTCCAACCGGGACAATACCGTGAGGGGTCCAACCCCTCCCTACATAGTATTGAGCAGCTGGATGAATGAGCAAAAGATAGAAATGGGGACCTTTCCTGGATTTTCTGCCAAGGCAAAGCAGGGAGAATGAGAGGCCCTTTTACTAATTACGGACTCAACTAATGTCCCTTAAGAGGAAAGTTGCCAACTGCCTCAAGGAAGGTTTTGAATACGAAGAGAGGCAAACCAGGAAGATGGCAAAATAAGTCATATATCCTCACTACCATACTAAAATCTCAATGATGTTTTGCATTTTTACTAAATGTCCCCTTATAACAAGAAAACTTCAATGGTCAGGCCATTTCAAAGTGCTTACACGTGCAAACTGCCGTCTAGGTGCAGAGGGCACCAAGAAGTGTTCAGGGCAGGCGCTCTAGTGAGGGACCTGGAGACCCCAGTACAAGCACACAGCACTGAAGTGCTGTTCACACACTTGCTCCAACAGAGCTGAGGGTGTGAGGTGTACTTCCTGCCAGAAGAGGCAAGCATCTGGTCTGGGCCTAGAGATAGGGAGGTTCATAATGAAAAGATAATGAATGCTTAAAGAAACGGTGCTATATGCATATACACAGGCAATGGAATAATATTCAGCCACAAAAAGGAAATCCTGACATTAGCGACAACACATATGAACCTAGAAGAGATTTATGCCAAGTGAAATAAGCCAGGCTCAGAAAGAAACACCACCTGATCACACTTACATGTAGAATCTAAAAAAACGAACCCATAGGAGCAGAGAGTGGAATGGTGAGTGCCAGGCGGTGGGGAAATGGGAGATGTAGGTCAGAAGATACAAAGTTTGGGACCAGCAGTTAGTGTAATGGCTATGTCGCTGGACTCCCATGTAGTCGACCATGGTTCGAGTCCCGGACCCGGTGGCTTAAACTCACACCAGGCACGTGTGCATGCGTGCCCAGGATACCGAGAGGAGAATGAAGGAGAAGAGATTGCAGCATGGCCATTCCTCCTGGGGGGTGATTTCTCATTTTCTGTCTCTCTGTCTCTCTCTTTCTGGTGAGCGCACACGCCCTATAACAAAAACCTCTAAAAAAAAAAATAAAATAAGGAAGATACAAAGTTTTAGTTATACAGCATGAAAAAATTCTGGAGACTTAGTGTACAGCATGGTGACTGTGGTTAATGATATTGTATAACATACTTAAAATTAGTTAAGAGAGTATATGTTAAATGTCCTCACCACAAAAAGGAGAAAAAAAAGAGTTACTATATGAGGCGATTAATTGGTTAACCAATTTAATTGTGGTAATCATTTCACATATATACACAGATCAAATAACCACCTTATATTCCTTAAATTTATACAATTTTTAAAAGAATTATTTATTTAATGTTCTTTATTATTACTATTTTTTCAATTTGACCAGAGAGAAACAGAGAGAGGTAGAGAGAGGGAGGGAGGGAAAGTGAGAAAGCACGCTTCCAGGTCCAGAACGCTAACCACCACCAGCCATGTGGGAGTCCAGCGCCTTTACCACCACGCCATTTGCCGGCCCCAAATTTATACAATTTTTTCAAGACCTCAGTAAAGCTAGGGAGAAAAAAAGAAAAGAGGAATAAGAAGAACATTTCAAACTGCGGATCAAGGAGAACGAAAGCACGGCAGCTTGGAAACAAATGTCTTACAGAAGGAATTGTATGGAGCTGGACGTGACAATAAAGTGGGTGAAGGGAGGGAGGGTAGGGATTTTATTTTATTTTTTTCTCCCAAAGACTGAGGAGGTAAAATAAGACTAAATTTGGAAAGTTGAAATGCCACTTAGGGAGTCTGAATCTTATTCTTGGGCATGAGAAGTCACTGAATGCTGTGGAGGTAGAGAGTGACATGGTTTTCAAGCATGTCATCTTGCTAGCGGGTCTGCTGGATTTCAAAGCCTCACTCATTTGCTTATGCAAAGGCCAAATGATTACTATATATATATGCCAGGCAGAGAGCCTGAGGACTGAATTATGGCCAGGAAAATATGGACACGGTGGGGAAGAGAGAAGGGAACGCCTGCAAAGCCGCAGTCTGGGCTTCACATCCTAAACTTGCTACTTTCTAGCTCTGCAACCCAAGACAATGGAGTTATCTTCCCTGTGCTCAACTTTCTCATCTGTAAAATGGGGATAATAACAGTACCTGCCTGTGGTTATTTTAAATTGATTCTCATAAAATGCTTTGAACTGTGGCTTGGTATCATCAGTACCTGGCAAAGATTAGCTATTATTTTCAGACGTAAGATTCTATGAGTTACAAACTAGCTGAACTTGGAGGCAAGAGAAAGAGTCAAAGATGTAATGTTCATCAAGAGGATATGGCAGATATTCTGAATTAATAGAAATAGAAAAAAAAAACAGAAAAATTATATTGAACATTTTACAAAATAACTATAATCTTCAAAGTGTCAACAAAACTCAGAAGAACTGTTCTGTATTCAAGGAGACCAGCCAGACATGACAACTGAACACAATGTGTGATTCTGAACCTGATTCACACTCTTCAAAGGACATTACTAAGTCAACTGAAATTTGCGTCGGATCTGGCTAACCATGATTTGAATCCCAACTCTGATGGTGTGTGTGTGTGTGTGTGTGTGTGTGTGTACTCAAAATCTCAACAGGGAAGAAAAATGGAGAAGGGATTGCAGTATGACCATGGCCCACTAGAAGATGCTTTCTTACTCCCTCTGGCAATTAAAAATCAAGAATGGATGACCCCCATGGCCCAGTGGTTAACAGAGCTACATCCCACGTGGCTGACCATGGTTCGAATGGGGTCTGAGTATGTTCTTGTTTCCTTATTTGTAGAAAACGACACAAACATATTCTGGAGCAATGAGGCATCCAATCAGTAACTTATTTTCAAATGTTTCAAAAGTTCTTTATACTCAGAATTCTTCTGTAAGTTGGTGATATTGAAAATAAAATCATTTCTTTTGAAAATTAACAGCTAACATTTGTTCAGCACTCACTGCTCAGGCATCGTGATCAGTGCTTTGCACATGAGCAAGGCAGCTCCCCAGGAAACGTCACTGACCTGCACATCTACCAGGACAGACTCCTATGCCCGTCCTCTGTGCCCCTGTGGCAGTACGAAGTCTCCTTTAGCCTACTGTAACTACTTTATGTCACGCTTCCACAGACTGCGAGCTCTTTGGGGGCAAGGCCTGTATTCCATTCTCCATTCATACCTATCATTCCCGGCCCTGCTCCGGTGTATCATAGGAGCTCAGTACATACTTGTGAATAATGCACTGAGGCTTGCTCACCATGGTGACTACAGTCAAAATGAGGCACCAGACTTAGAATGCATACCTGACACATGCCTTCTTTTCAAGGTGGTCCTGGCTCTGGCAAAGGCACCCAGTGCAAAAAGCTGGTGGAAAAATACGGATTTACATATCTCTCAACGGGTGAGCTCCTGCATAACGAACTGGCATCAGAATCTGAAAGAAGCAAGTTGATCAGAGACATCATGGAACGTGGAGACCTGGTGCCCTCAGTAAGCAGCACAACCTGCCCCTGACAGCAGCCTCCCCTGGCAGAGCCAATACTCAGGACAATGCATTTGAGTCTGAACTGCTGGAACCAGGAAACCCAAGGGCCTTAGTTGTGTTTTCCTTCTCTCCTATGTAACAATCTGGAAGCAGGCAGGTCTACACAGGCAGCCCATCTACCAGGTGGTACAGGCTCAGGTTCCTCTGTCTTGCTCTGCTACCCTCTTGAGAGTTATCCTATTCTACATTTTACCCCAAACCAGTCTCCACTTTGGCAGCAGTGGGAGGGGTCTTCAAAACAGAGATGAATGTGGTGCTGCAAAAATTTGGAATTTTTGTCATATAAATAAAGAATATCCCTTTTTATGCCTGTTTTCTTTCAAGTCACCATCCAGCTGAGAAGTTGGGTGTCACAGGCATCAAAAAGTACTCATGCCTGCCATGTGCAGTCCCGTGCTTGACTCTGTAATTGAGGCTTGTACGATATGATCCCCATTAGCTCATAGAGCTTTCTGCTTCCTCTTTGACCAGCTGCCACCTGCTTCCCACCTGGAGGCCAGAGTGATCCTCATGAAGGAACACAAATCATTGCAGTTACCTCATAGCTGGCCTCCTGGTCTGCTCTTTCCTCCCCTCCCGTGTACTCTTTCCATCGCAGCCAGAGTGGCTTCTTTAAAACATTTATCAAATTGTGTTATCTCTTTCCTTAGGCCCTTCTGTTAGCTCCCCACTGCACTTGGAATGCAGTCCAGAGTCTTCTCACGGCTATGGCTTTCAGCTACCTCTCAGCATGATTTCCCACCGCTGTCATCTCGCTTCTCCCACCAGCCACTGACCTCCTCATTGCCCCTCCCACGAGTCAGGCTGTTCCTTTGCACTTGCTGTTTCTTCAGCCAGAGTATTCTTCCTGTTGTATTCACTTCATTTACTCCTTTCCTTTATCGATGTCTCTGCCCACATGTCACAGTTCGTCAGAGCCCTTTCATGACCACCCCACCTCTGGCATTCTGTATCTCTGCTCTGCTTTAATTTTTGTGCCTGTGAATTATGTCTAGCTAACGATTATGTTCAAGGATATTTCAAAAAGTTTGTGGAAAAATGAAATTAAAATATGAGTTTACCTTAGCACAAAAAAAGTCTGAAATTCATGCATAGTTTTTTCGTAATGCAGTTGTCCATGAACTCTTCAAAGACCTCTTGTACTTATTTGTCCGTCTATTGTCTGTCTTCCTTGGCAGAATGCTAACATCATGAAAAGTTAATCATGATTATCTAATGATACATTCTGACCACGCTTATGATGGCTGTATTCTCTAAGCCCCAGTCAGAATTAGAGAACAAGGAATTTCCCCCATCTTGGCATCTGACTGCATTTTTCCAAACCCATTCCCAAGTTTCCATGCATCTTTCCTCCCTTATTTTCCATAAGCACTTGTTAAATCAAAAAATTTAACAGAGAACAATTTTGCTAGAAAATATTACTTCATGTCTACAAAAAGTCTTCTTCAGTCAATGGATGTCAAGTTTTATAAAATATTTACCAGAAAAAATTACAGTGAAATGCAATTTATACCATGCTTTTTCTAGTTGTAAATTGCATTATACATAGTTCATACAGTACTACCATGTGACACATGGCTGCCCTATTCATCTAATTTTAGATGCCATTATTTTAAGGCACACCAGTAAGATATAACCAGTAAGAATAAACACCAAAAGCTAAACTACAATCCAGCACTGATTGTAAGATATCTACCAATTTCATAAGCATTAAAATATGGGGAGAAGAAAAAAGAGCGAGACTTAGAATTGATGAAATAGGGTACGTCTTCTCTGAACCAGCATCTTCCAGTGGGAGCACTGAAGGAGACTTGTGGTTCTGGTGGTGTTCTGTGGAGAAGCTCAGGTCCTGACTACTTTCCCTCTGCTCCAGGGCATCGTTTTGGAGCTCCTGAAGGAGGCCATGGTGGCCAGCCTCGGCGACACTAAGGGCTTCCTGATTGACGGCTACCCTCGAGAAGTGAAGCAAGGGCAAGAGTTCGGACGCAGGGTGAGCTGTTGTTATAGGGATCATCCCAGGAAAAAAACATGGGACATCACTGTGGTCAGGAAATAACCTTTTTGATAGACAAGGAAAGTATTGTCCTCATGTTAAAGGTGGTAAATTAAGCCCAGAGAGACTTAATGACTTGCCCGCTGGTGACAATTTACTGGTAAGTGACAACTGCCGGTAGGACTAAGATTTGGGGGGACCCATCTGCATCCACCTCTGAACGCCACAGCATTGGTTACGGTGAATGGTGCTTGTGTAGCTCCTGGGTGTAGCTTGCCCTCCTCCAGAGTCACTGTTTCATATAACTCACATCATGGCCATCACCGTGGGGAGTGGTTTCTCACTTTGCCTTGTAGCTACCATCTAAGTATTAAAAAGTCGATTGCTCGATTTACTCATCATTTCTTACTATAACCAGAGTCAAAAGTTTTCTAGGTCTAATTGGCAAGAGTGGGCCCTGGACCTACACAGGCTGTCCTTTGGCTCCAGACCCCCAATTAACAATGTGGGAGCAGGCAGTGAGAAGTGAATTTGTGTAGCAGTGTGGCATTTCCAGGCAGATCTTGGGAGGAGGAAGAGGGACACTCATATGCTAAAATTATTATGTTTTTTTTTTTTCAGAGGTTTTTGCTATAGGGCACATGCACTCACCAAAAAGAGAGAGACAAAGCGAGAAATCATCCCCCAGGGGGATGACCATGCCACAATCCCTTCTCCTCCATTCTCCTCTCAGAATTTTGGTCACACACGCACACGTGCCTGGCATTAGTTTAAGCCACTGCGTCTGGGACTCAAAACACAGTCAACGACATGGGAGTCCAGTGACATAGCCATTACGCCAACTTCTAGTCCCTATATGCTAGAATTCTAATGAGCTTCAAGAGTGCAATTCTCAAGGACCAGCCCCATAGTGCAGCACATTGAGAGCCAAATCCCACATGACCCACCGTGGTTCAAATTCCAACCCTGGCAGCTTGAAAAACATGACAGATATGTGTGCATGCATGCCCAAAATCCTGACAGGATGGAGGAACTGAGGAAAAATGATTACGGCATGACCACACCCCATCGGAAAGTTATCTCTCTCTCAATCTCTCTAACCAGTACACGTGTACTCTGACAATTAAAAAAAAAAAAAAAAAAAAAGGAAAGAAAGAAAGAAAACAAAGGGACCAGGAGGTGGTATGGTGGTTAAGGTACTGAACTCTCATATGGCTTACAGCAGTCTGAGTCCTGGACCTAGCAGTTTGAAAACCACATCAGGCATGTGTACATGTTTGCCTAAAGTCTCAGGAGGAGAATGGAGGAAGCCTGTTCAAGCCTGTGAGTGGTCTCAGTCTGCCTACAGAAATCTCACCAGCTTTTCTGTGTCACAGAGATGCATGTGCCCATGCACAGGGCACTACAAGGGCACTTCAAAAGTTCATGAAAGGACCGGTGGGTGGTGTGGTGGTTAAGGCACTGGACTCCCACATGGCTGACCAGTTCAAATTCTGGACCTGGCCACTTGCTTTCTCACTCTCACTCTCTTTCTGTTTCTCTCTCATCAAATTAAAAATAATAATAAATAAAGTTAAGTAAATCTCTTTTTTTAAGTTCATAAAAATGAAATTAAAGTATCTTTGTTTTTACTGCAAAAAATCGGAAACCTATACATAGTATTTTCATAGTATGCATTTTCTGTAAACTTTTTGAAGACTCCTGGTTTGTGTGGATTTCTATAACTTTCCTATCTTCTGATCCCAAAGCTAGTTTTCTTCCCTTATTGAATTGACCATCTGTGCCTTCAGTATCCAACCTGGTATATTGGGGAAGAAAAGGGTGTGTGTGTGTGTGTGTGTGTGTGTGTGAGAGAGAGAGAGCGAGAGAGAGAGAGAGAGAGAGGGAGGGAGGGAGAGAGAGAGAGAGAGAGAGAAAGAGAGGGAGAGAAGTGAGAAACAGAAGGAATATGAGGGAGAAAAGGGGGTTCTGACCACCTCCCCAGTTAAGAACCCTTGACAACAGTGACTTTGGTGTTAGCCGGCCTATCTCAAACCCTGGCTTAGAAACTCACCAAGTTGTTTATGTTTGCAGATCAGTTTCTTCTTCTACGAGGTATAGGTTGAAAATACCTCAGTGGAGGAGATTTGGTGGAATCCTCAAAAAGCACCTTTACATTTTATAAGCCTGTGTATATTTTCCATAAATTGTTACAGGTTTTAAAAAGTACGTGCATTTTTCTGACTAGAGAAATAAAAATCATATAAGTAAGAAGCAGTACACAAAAGCATAAAACAAAGACTGGCGAGTCATCCCGAGACAATGTCTGTTAACATTTAAGGTATGTTCTTCCAGTCTTCAGCTTGCCCATTTTTATATGTTGGCTGTCAGAAAAGTCATGATGCATTTTTGCGTAGAAAGACATAGAAAAAAAAAATACGTCATGACTTTTCTGACAACCCAGTAGTTAAAATCACAAAATGTGAAAATGATAACTGTTATTTCTGAGCATTTAGAATGTGCAAGGAACTCGACTGGATGCTTTACATACATCATTTGATTCATCTATACAGTCCTGTTCAGCCGGTGTTATTATCCCCGTTTTTTCAGTTACTATCATCCCAGTGAGGGCCAAGTGCCTAGCCTGGCTCTCTAGTGTGAAACTGAAACACTTCCCTGTATACCCCTAACTAAACGTGTTCCACAACAGCCGGGCTAAACACATACTAACAAAACTAAAATACACGGACTTGCCCTTGGTTTTCCCCTCCCAGGAGAATCTTAGCTGAAATGCTACCCTTAGCCAAAATACGCATGTAATTTCCCTGGACGTGTGAGCAATGGCGTTACTATCTCTGCCTGACTACCCTGAGCTCTCTCACAACGCTTATCATTGACAGATTTGTGTTTTTGTTTATAAATGCCCCGAATGAGCTGTTAACACAGAAAGGTTATGGTCTGGCCACGGGAACATCGCATTGGTGTGATCTAGTTGTTTGGAATTGTGAGGAGTCTTGGGACTACTTGCGGTTTTCCATTTGAGATGTTTCTGCTCTCCTGTGACTTCTGGTTTGCTGCAAGACTTCTAGCTGCTTACGTAATGGTGTTGTGGGGGGCAGAGGTGTGAGGCCGATTAGTGGTGTTATTCGGGTCCTGTGCTCAGGATCGCTGGAACCATCCAGATATCCTCCTCCGCGGAGGTCCTCGGAGGGCTATACCTGAGTGAGAGTGAATGAGAAGTAGGTGTGCCACTTCATTGTCAGCCGGGGCCCTCATCTCCTGGCTAAGATGCTGGAGCATGGACTTAGGCTAAAAGCCTGAGTGGAGTCTCTAATTCTTACTAACCTCAAATCTGACCCGAAGGGAACTTTTTAGCTTAAGGGATAAACACATTACAAGGTCCACAGCAAATAATATTAGCACCCATTTATGTCATGTTTGCAACGGGTCAGACACCTTACATGTATTAACTTATTTAACCCTCACAGTAGCCCTAGGAGGTAGAAACTGTTGTTATCCTCATGGTTAAATGAGGAAACTGAAGCACACAGAGAACAGGATGGCAATAATTCTGAAAAAGAGAGAGTTCCTGACTGGCGTGCATAGTCCCTGCCCACCGGTTATCATGGCCTAGTGCATGTTCTGACTAGAAGGAGACTAAGGTTGGGGTCAGAAGAGAGCAGGGTAGAACGATTGCCCCATGTCCGCAGGTGCTGACCTCCCCACAGTGGTGGGCGGTTCTGTGCTCTGAGAGCTGCAAGGATGAGGGCAGATTCCAACTAGTGACCCTTGCCCTCAGCATGGTACCATTCTAGCTTATGGTATCTCAACAGCTTGTGAAGACAATTCTGCCCTGTAAGAGGTCCCTGAATACCAAAGGCCATGAAGAACCCAATGGCGGCCGAATTCCAGCAGGGTGGTGCTGGGGCAGGCCGTGGTCCTGAGTCTCTGTGATTCATTTAGACAAGGGCCGATTCTATGTCTTACTCACTTGATGTTTGAGGCTAACCAGAGGCCAGGATAAAAGGGCAGAAGGGAGCCAGAGAGATCATCTAAGAGACTTCCTAGAGACACATATCAAAGGGTTGGAGAGGCACAGAATATAAACGGTATTTCATTCAAATATTTCAAAAAGTTTTATGTGTTGAGAACATCAGTGGTTCAGGACACTTCCTGGACCTGGAATGGCTGCTTGGTAGAGTTTTGTGTAGGAAGAGAGCACTGATTTGGGCAAAGATAGATTGGGTCCAACCTCATAGTTTTGACACAAGGGAAAGGCTGGGTAGAGCCCCTCCTCGAGCTGTTATGGTGTGAAGATCCACCTAGGGGTCTTGTTAAAGTGCAGGCCCTGGCTCAGTAGGTAGGTGTTGCACTGGAGACTCTGCTTTTCTAACAAGCTCTCAAGTGATAAGCTGCTGGTCCACAGACCGGACCACACTTTGGAAATCCATGTGGAAGACAAAGCTACCTCTCTGCCCTGTGTTTATTTTGGTCTAGAAGGTCATTTGCTTCCAGCTCCTGCTCAGATACACATTATCTGTTTGTACCTGAATGAGGCACTGAATTATATTTCCTGTCCTCAAGTGTAGCCTGAAAATGACTCATGCAGCCCTAACCAGAAATTGTTTCACAGAACTGTGACCAGACCGTCAGCTGCCGCCCAAGCTCGCCCTCTGCTGGTGAAAAACATCATTTTCTCAAACCTTCCATCCTCCTCCCCCTTTCTTTTGCTCAAATGCTCATTTATTTTCCTTCTGATTAATAAAAACAGGGAAGCATGACATATTTCAGAGGTTCATTTTACCCTTCTTATTTTGGGAGAATTTTTACAGTTTCTTTCTTTTTTCTTTTAACATGTCTTTTGAGAATTATTTTAGTTATGGGACTGGCAGGTGGCGTGATGGTTAAGGGTGCTGGACTCTCACATGGTCGACTGCAGTTCGAGACCCAGACCTGGCGGCTTGCTTTCTCACTTTTCCTCTCTCTCCTTCTCTATGTCCTTGTCTGGTCAAATTAAAGATAAATAAATAAATAAAGTTAAATAAAATAATTATTTTAAAAACTAATTAATTATGGGACCAACAGTTAGCATAATGGCTATGTTGCTGGACTTCCATGTAGTGGACCTTGGTTCAAGTCCCAGACCCGGTGGCTTAAACGCAGGTCGGGCACATGTGCATGCATGCCCAAGATCCCGAGAGGATAATGGAGGAGAAGGGATTGTGGCATGGCCTTCCCCCCTGGGGGGTGATTTCTCACTTTCTGTCTCTCTCTGTCTGGTGAGCACACACACCTTATAGCAAAAACCTCTAAAAAAATCATTCATTCATTCACTTAATTTAATTAAACAAAGTTCAATAAAAAATAATTCTTTAAACATAGAATTATTTTATTTAGCTTTATTTATTTTCATTTGACCAGAGATGGATAGAGTGAGTGTGAGAGAGAGAGCGCAAAAGTGAGAAAGCAAGCTGCCAGGTCTGGGACTCGAACTGCAGTTGGCCATACGAGACTTCAGCATCCTTAACCACCATGCCACCTGCTGGCCCCTACATTTTTTTTTTAAGAATTATTTTATTGAAATGTATTTATTTATTTATTTTAATTTGACCAGAGAGGGTCAGAGTCAGAGTGAAAGTGAAGTGAGAGAGAGAGAGAACGTGAGAAGGCAAGCCACCAGGTCCGAGACTTGAACCATAGTCAGCCATGTGGGAGTCCAGCGACCTTGACCACCACACCACCTGCCGGCCCCTACATTTGGTTTTTTAAAGTACATCCCTCAAAGGGAAGAGATGAGTGCTACACTTTCTAGCATGCATGTTTCTATATGTTGCCTGAACGTCCTCTCCCACCCTGACTTTGTTTTCATCCCATCCCTGGAGCTTTGGCAAATCTTCTTTTACTCACAACCTAAATGTGGCAAGGTCAGGACGCAACAGTGGCTTCTTTTGATCTAGGGTTGGGTTGGTAGTGGAAGTAAAGAAGGTATCTTCCAGAGATACCAGGGACTAAAAGAACAGTTAGGAAAAGGATAGAGAGATGAGGAGAGGAATGAAGAGGAATGTCACAGATCATATCACCATCATTTATTTGTTAACACACTCCTTAGTCACCTACTGTGTGCAAGACTTGGGACCAGCAGTGGAGAATTCCTAACTACTGCACACAGAGCTAACAGAAGAAATGAGGAAAATAACTAATACTTTTGAATGTTTGCTATCTTCTAAGCAGCACACTTACCTTATTTAATTTTATTTGACCCTGTGATTATCCTCATTGTACAAATGAGAAAACCAAAGTACAGAGAAGTTGGACGACAGTTGAGTTAATGAGGAGATCAGGTGGATTACAAATTTGTGCCATCTTTCATGGTTCAGGAGGCTGATAGGCTCTGCTGCTGTTCTTCCCCCTGGGGTCCCGTCTGCAGTTGCAGTCAGTGTACACGCTTGTAACTGGGGCTGGGAGTCTCTGTCCCCGTGGCATTGCCATGTGCCTGTCTTGGGCTTTCTCACAGCTTGGCAGTCTCAAGGGAGTCGGACATCTTAGATGGTAACTAAATGTTCCACAAAACCAGGCAGAAACTGCCCAATTCTTTAAATTCCTTATTCTCTGAAAGCATATGGCATTGTGGCCACTAGATTTTTGGTAAAATAAAAAACTGTTACAAGTCAGTTCACACTCAAGGAGGTGGTGGATCAGGCTGTAGGCCTCAGTGGGGGAGTAATTTACAAAGAAAGCAAGTTAAGGAACTGAGAAAGTCCGCCTTGGAGACCAGGCGTCACACCAGGATTGGACCCTAGGAGCCTGCCTCCAGTCTTTGTGCATCCACCATTATGCTGTATCCACCGCACAGAATCCAGACTTAGCCACAGTATGCACTGGTGGCTGGTGTTGGGTGCAGTGGTGTTACTTAGGCACAGTGGTTAGTTAGCTCCGCCTCAGTGGGTCAGGGGAGCTTCACACGGGAGGAAACGCCACCACACAGCACTCTCTTAGAGCAGAGCTTAGATGGGGACTGCCTTGTGTATCAGTGGGCAGCACATAATCCCAGCATTATGTGAGGTCCCTACAGTCCCAGCTGTGCCACAGTGTCATTCTGGGACCTTCAGAGGACTCAGAAGCCAAGACAGGACATAACTGGGGACCCCAGGCCTCATCAGAACGTCAGCAGAGTGGACTTTCTGACCATGTGGTACTCCACCCTGTCTGTCCCCCAGATCGGAGACCCACACCTGGTCATCTGCATGGACTGCTCAGCAGACACCATGACCAGCCGCCTCCTGCAAAGGAGCCAGAGTCACAAGCACGCTGATGTCGCCACCAAGACCATTGCCAAGCGCCTGGAAACCTACTACCGTGCGTCCATCCCTGTGGTGGCTTACTACGAGACGAAAACGCAGCTGCGGAAGGTGAGCCTTGCCACCCTCCGCTCTCAGATGAGCCACCTCCCTTTCCTTTTCCAGTAACGGAGGAGGAACTATCAGCGTTTCAGTTAAGCGATCTGGAAACTAGAGGTGCATGCGGCTCCAGGATTTGGGCCAAAACATGAGTCCCTTACTCTCTTCACATTTGTCTCAATCAAAATTAAGTATTTGTCATTATGTGGATCCTAAGAAGTTGGCCATAGGGCCAGCTAGTGGTGTGGCATTTAAGGTGCTGGGTCCCACAGAGCCAATTGTGTACTTTGAGTCCTAGACCCAACAACTTGAAAATCACCGCAGGTGCTTGTGCATGTGTGCCAAAAATCCTGAGAGGAGGGACCAGCAGATGGCGTAATGGCTACGTCGCTGGACTCCCGTGTAGTCGACCACAGTTTGAGTCCTGGATCCGGTGGCTTAAACTCACGCCAGGTGTGTGTGCGTGTGTGCCCAAGATCCTGAGAGGAGAATGGAGGAGAGGGGATTGCAGCATGACCATCCCCCCCCCCCCGGGGGGATGATTTCTCACTTTTTGTCTCTCTGTCTCTTTCTGGCGAGCACACACACCCTATAGCAAAAACCTCTCTGAAAAATAATCCCAAGAGGAGAATGGAGGATAAGAGATTGCCATGTGGTCATTCCCCCAGGGGCTGATTTCTCACTTTCTGTCTTTCTTTTTCTCTGTTTCTGCAGCAAGCACAAATGCCCTATGGCCAATTAAAAATAAATAAATAAATACATAAATAAAACCATATAAATTTCATAGATACTGCTATCGTTGCTGAAAACAACTCCTTTTCCAGAGAGAGAGAGAGAAGGATGTGGGGAAGAAGAGAGAGAAGGGAGAAACAAGTAAGGGAAGAGGAGAGGAGGCCTGGATTCTGCCACTGACTTTCTAGGCATGCAGACCTCAGCTGCACAGAATGATGTAAAATCTTCTAGATCTAGCATTTAATGCCTCTGAATCTCCAGACTTTTTTACAGTTGATCATTGCATTTGGCACCTTTGCCTCAATGTCTTACAAGAACTGATGTTCTGGGGGAAAGCAGCATTTGAGGCCAGGAGAACAAGTAATGCAGTGAAACAATGAAGATGCTGTGGAGGGACCAGCAGTTAGTGTAATGGCTATGTCGCTGGACTCCCACGTAGTCGACCGCAGTTCGCGTCCCGGACCCAGTGGCTTAAACTCACACCGGGCGCATGTGCGTGCGTGCCCAAGATCCCGAGAGGAGAATGGAGGAGAAGGGATTGTGGTGCAGCCATCCCCCCGGGGGGGGATTTCTCGCTTTCTGTCTCTGTCTCTCTCTGTCTATCTCGTGAGCACACACGCCCTATAACCAAAACCTCTCAAAAAAAAAAAAAAAAAAGATACTGTGGAGAACCGAGTAGTATCAACTCCCCTGAGCTATAATCCATGCTGAGTCCTGATGAATTCCATGAATTTGGGAGAACTACTCAATCCTCGTTCTTTCGCTCATTTTGAGACAGCTGTATCGAGACCTGTGGTCTATCCAGCACTCCAGTGGTTTGCATGCAGATAGTGAGATGTGGTTCTCGCATCCCTGCGGCACTTAGGAGTCTGCACGGGAGATGCTCGCAGTGTGATCACGGTATGGGGCCAAAGTGAGCACAGAGATCCGAGGGGACCTTTCCTCCAGTGTTTGGAGAAAGGAAAGGTGTCCAGGAAGGTTACCCGAGAGGGACTAAACAGAGCTTTTAAGATGGGGGTGTGGATACTCCACACAAAAGAAGCCTGAGTGAAAAAAATCAGAAGGGCAAGAAATTCAGCATGGCTGTGACATAAAGTGCCAAGGAAAAGCAGGACAAGAAACGGGGATGAAGAGGTGGGCACGGACGAGATCAAGATGAACCTTATGTCAGAACACATAACTGGCATGTGGGTGATGGGAGCTACTGAAGGGGAAAGACATCACCAGGAGGTCAGTCCAGAGAGCTCATTCCATCAGCCTTGGGAGAGTAGTTCTCAAAAAGAAAAGGCTAGGAGACCACCAGGAGGCTGGGACAGACATCCGTAATAAAATTCTGAGGATCTGGGGCCGGCAGAAGGTGTGAGTTGTGGCGGTTGGGGGTGCTGGGCTTCCATATGGCTGACTGTGGTTCGAGTCCCAGACCTTGTGGCTTGCTTTCTCACTTTCTCTCTCTCTCTCTTTCTCTCTCTCTCGTCAAATTAAAGTAAATAAAGTTAAATAAAAATAATTCTTTAAAAAAAGAAAAAAGTCCCGAGGACCCAAGCCAGAGTAGGGAGAGCGAGGATCTACTGCCTGCTATTCATAGGATATCACAGGATGGGAAACATCAATCACAAAATAACAAACTTGGGGTAGGTGGCATGGTGGTTAAGGCACTGGACTCCCACATGGCTGACCATTGTTTGAGTCCCAGACCTGATGGCTTACTTTCTCACTTTCCCTCTCTCTTTCTCCCTGTCTCTCTCTGATGAGTGCACATGTCGAATAGCAAAATTAAATAACAATAGTAATCATTCTTTTAAAAAACTTGTCTCTGGGATAGCTACATCTATTGGATTGTTGGAAAAGTCATGATGTATTTTAAATATTTAGCATATTTAAATATTTGCCATATTTTAAATATGTCATGACTCTTTTCCAATGACCCTGTATTCCTTGGGAAAAACCATTCATAGGGAATTCTTACCACATGAATCTATTATTTATTTTCCAGAAAGCCAAGGAGTCCTGGGTACAAAAGTCTAAAAGGTACCTCTGGTATCTCTTGATTTAACTTAGAAATATCAAATAAGTGGCATGAGAGTCATCATCTCCAACTTCTGTACCCACGGCAGACATTGCTAATTCATTGCAGCACTGTTTCCTACAGTACCCAGAGGAGGCCTGAGAATGTTTGTCAACACACCTCTCCAGGCAGCTACTTCAGTTCATAGAACTTGATGTGTAAAATGAAACCTATTTGCTGTGTTTTGTTTAACCTCTGGCTGCCATATAAAATACTTACATCTCGGGCCAGCGGATGGCATGGTGGTGAAGGGTGCTGGACTCCCATAACCGTGGTTCAAGTCCCGGACCTGGCAGCTTGCTTTCTCACTTTTCTCTTTCTCTCTCTCAGTCTTTCTCTCTTTCTTGCTCTGCCCCTCTCTGGTCTAATTAAAATATAATAAATAAATAAAGTTAAATAACATAAAAAATTTTTTAAAAAGAAATACTTACATCTTTAAAACTAAGCAAACATGGGGCCAGCAGGTTTAATGGTAGTTGAGGCACTAGATTTCCACACGGCCGACCGCAATTTGAGTCCCTGACCAGGTGGCTTGCTTTCTCACTTTCTCTCTGTCTGTCTCTCTCTCTCTCAGTATCTCTCTCTGGTCAGACTAAAAAATAACAATAATAAATAAATTTTTAAGATAAAATAAAAATAAACAAAAATTTATTATATAAGAGCAAGTACTTAAGAATTTGGGTTGCAAAAGCCTTTCCCCATTTAGATAGTCCAGCGTTTCACCTTTTGTGCAGTCTGGAACACACATGGAAATTGTCCAGATGCAAAGAAATTCCTTCCACTTACAACATTTGTAAAGGTTGGGGCCTAGATGGTGGCATACTGGTAAGACTTGATGCGTGGCCCTCCTGGTGGCATAGTCTGTAGCATAGTGGACTGCAGTGCTGGAAGCCACATGCTGACTGGGTTTGGATCCACAGGTCCTAAAGGCCCACCAGGAGTACATGTTCCAGAAGCTGAGGAGCTGGAGGGCTGGGAAAAGGAGATTGCTGTGTGATGAGACCCTGTTGAGGGTGCTTCTCTCTCCCTCATGCATGCACTATTATTTAAAAAAAAAAAAAAAAAAGAACCCTCTGTGGGACTGACCCACATGGGAAGGTTCCAGATTCATGTCTAGAAACCTCCCTGAGTACACCAGGCATACCTGTGCCCATGATCCTGGATTGACTAGAGCTGAGGGTGAACCGTAGCATCAAGATTCAGGGGTGCTTGTCTTTCTGTCTCTTCTCTCTGTCTCTCTTGCTCATAGAAAAAATACATAAGCTTTAAAGAAAAAAAAAAGTTAAAAAAAAAAGCAATTTGTGGGCGCAGCATATGGCATAATGGTTACATTGCTGGACTTCCACATAGTTGACCACAGTTCAAGTCCTAGACCCGGCAGCTTAAAACACATGCCGGGTGCATATGTGTGCCTGCCCAAATCCCAAGAGAAGAGTTGGAGGAGAAGGGATTGCGGCGTGGCCATCCTCCCTGGGGATGATTTCTCACTTTCTGTCTCTCTGTCTCCCACTGCCTCTCTGGTGAGTGCATGCACCCTATAGCAGAAATCTGTCTAAAAACCAATGTGTAAAGGTGGAAAATCCCTAAGTATGGAGTTTAACCACTTTCAGTGACAGATAATCCCTTTTATTTCTCTCTGTTATTCTAACCAGAATTCTACAAACTCAAAAATGATTGGCACTAGATTCTGGGCTCACAGCTTTCTCAGATAAACCTGAGCTCTGGAATCCTCTTCAGAACCCCATAAGTTCGAGGCACAGGAAGTTCCGGTCTCAGCCTACTTTGCGTGTGAAGATGCTGGCAGCGGGATTCGTGATGAAGGAACGTTTATGATCTACTTTGCTAATATTTAAAACCGCTCCAGCCAGACTGCAGAGCAGACTGGGCTCTGGCCCTCAGGGCTCCCACAGGGGCTCCCACAGGGCCTCCAGGGGAAGCTCTTTCACCCGTGGCTCCGACCAGCTGCAGAGATAAGCAGGGATACCCCCACATCTTCCCAGCACCTGACCCTCCTCTGCACCACACACACACACACACACACACACACACACACACACACACACACACACACACACACACACACACACACACACACACACACACACACACACACACACACACACACACACACACACACACACACACACACACACACACACACACACACACACACACACACACACACACACACACACACACACACACACACACACAC